AAATTCAACCATCACCGTCTCTGCAGCATTTACTGTGCTGACTTGCCCCCTCTTGAGAAGGCCTGGAAAGGAGACTTGACCAGTGGTCTCAGTCTAGAAGGCATCTCCCCCATGACACTTGAGAATCAGCTGTGGGCTTTTAATCTGTGGTCTGAAATCATTTTCAAGGTTGGCATTTTCATTGTAATCAGTACCATTGAAGACTACCTCAAAGCCTGCGACTTCCCTGTCTGCCTGCCTAGAAATAAATTAAGGCTCCCTTCCCTTAGTCAGGGGATGACAGGCTGGCACCGGTGCAGCAGCATGAGGCCTGGGTGTTCAACTCCCAGCCCCGAGCTAAGCAAGAGTATCAGCAAGTCACAGAGTTTCTGGAATTGAGGCATCTGCTTGGCAGGGGAGCCCTGACGTGGCTGGGGCAGTAGCACAAGGAAGTCTACACTGCAGCAGCCCTGACACCTCTGGTTTCCTTCCTGCCTCTACCATCCAAATGGGTTATTCATTCAAAACGATGGAAGGTGCTGGATTAACCAATTCTAAATACTGATTTGTCGTATTTCCGATGCGATTCCAAATGACCAAATGTTAATCCCCCTGTGTGGGCCTAGCACAGACAAGAGTGTGTACCAGCAGACCTCACCCCTTCCAAGCACTCCAGGAGGGTTCTATATTTTATCTTGCCTTAGCTGTGTGGCTGGTGGGAGGAGGAGTCTCAGAGATGATTTATTCCCTACGCTGACCTCTTCCCCCATCCCCTACCCCACACCCCTCGTGCAGCTCCTGGCATCTGGACCTGATGTCCTCACTGTTTCCTGCCTTAGTCTTACCTTCTCCCCTAGACCACCAGCTTCCTCACTCCTTTGTTGTTGTTTTTTCCCATCTGGGGACTTGTTAGAAACTTCATTCCTTTTGTAGCTGATTAATCATTAACCATTTTACATTCCCACCAGCAATGTATGAGGGTTCCAGTTTCTCCACAACTTTGCCAAAACTTACTATCTTTTTAATTATTGTCATCCTAGTGAGTGTGATGTGCTATCTTATTGGGTTTTTTGATTTGCATTTTCCTAACAATTAATGATGCTAAGCATCTTTTCATGTGCTTGTTATTATTGAGTTTTAAGAGTTCTTTATGTAGTCTAGATACAAGTCCCTCATCAGATATAGGACTTGCAAATATTTTCTCCCCTTCTATGAATTGTCCTTTCACTTCCTTAGTGTTACTTTGAAGCACAAAATTTTCTCAATTTTGACAAAGTCCAACTTTTCTTTTGTGGATTTACATGTGATGTCATTTCTAAGAAATTATTGCCTAATTCAAGGTCATACAGATTTACTCTTATGTTTCCTTTTAGAAGTTTTATAGTTTTAGATCTTACTTTGAGGTCTTCAATACATTTTGAGTTAATTGTTATATACGGTGTTAGGTGGGGGTCCACCTTCATTATTGCATGTGTGTATCCAGTTGTCCCAGGATCACTGGTTAAAAAGACTGTGTTTCCCCTTGATTAGTTTTGACACCCTTGTCAAAAATCATTTGACCATAAACATTGAAGGCTTGTTTCTGGACTCTCAGTTGATGTATATGTCTATCCTCTCTATTCTGTTGATCTGTGTGTCTGTCCTTACGTCAGCACCACACTGTCTTGATTCCTATAGCTTTGTAGTAAGTTTTAAAATCAGGAAATGTGAGTCCTTCACATTTGTTTTCTTTTTTAAGATGGTTCTGACAATTCTGTATACACAGCAGATCCTTAAACATACTTGTTGCCTGGTCGCTTGCTTGCTTGCTTGTTTCCTTTGAGAGCCTGGCTGGCCAGTGTTTAAGTGAAAACTTCCTCTCCCTGCTCTCAGCCTCCTCTTCATAAGGCATCTGGCCAGTAGAGATGTAGGCAGTTCTGGCTGAGCTGTCATAGTTCAGGCAAGGTAGTAAAAGAGGAAACTTGGTGAGTCGCATCTGGCCCCTGGCAGGGGCTCTAAATCCAACTACCCCCCCCCCTCTCTCTCCATCCAGCATCCCAGCTTTCCTCTTCGTCTTGCAGGGTCGGTGTCTGGGTACTTGTAATTCTATCTAGATCCACTTCTGGACAGATCGCACGATCTCTCCTCTTGTGCCTCTGTCATCCTGTCACTCTCCTGCCCCTTCCTAAGCATGATCCAGGACAAAATGGTGCAGGACGGAGGCTATCTATCCTGTCAGGTGGGGCTGGTGTGACAGCCTGGCCTTCCTGATGGCATCTCTGATCACCCCCATGGGTTCTTTATGGATCCCATATCACCTGAGCTGCAGGCACTGATTAGCCAGTGGCTGAAACTTTTTTCTTCCCTGTGGGGTTTTCAGTCCTTGCCTTAAGGAGGCAAAAAAGGAAGTTAGGAGAATCAGAGGGTAGATTTTTCTGAAATGTCTCAAGATAAGCTGACCAGCAGCTGGTTCCACGATACTAAGGACTTACACCTTTGACCTTTTTTCAGAGCATGGCCCTCAGTTGGTTTTTTGTTGTTGTTATTGTTGTTGTTTTATGACTAAAAGTGATAAAACCAAGTCTAACTTCACCTCCGTGGGGTGCTGGGACAGTTTCTGCTTTGCCTCGCTGCAGGGTAGGGGGCAGTCTGCACACTGACATAGACTTAGCCGGGCGCCACCACTGAACTATGCAGTCTTGGACTTGGGACCCAGTGTTCATGAACACAGCTCCCTCATGGGCTAATAGGGACACGTCCCTTACAGGGTGATGAGAGCAGTTAGGGATTCAGTAGGAGTAAAGTGTTCACATTATCAGCGGTAATGCTAGTTACTGTTTATTGAATGCTTTCTTTCTGCCAGTCTCTATGTTAGTGTTCAAGTTAAATCACATAGGGTAAAGGGAAAGAGTCCGTGGTCTCCAGAGCCATAAACAGGTGTGTTTTCAATATCTACTCTATGTTGAACCCTATGCTGGTCCTCATGTGTATTTTCAATTCTTTGAGTGTTGGAAGAAGGCCACTTAATATCCCCTCTCCATATAGATTCTCAGCCAGTGGAGAACTACACAGAGGAGCCAGGTAGAGGTAAAAACAGAGCTTGTATTGTAGGCAAAGGCCCGACCAACACCTGGCTCAGACCTACAGCCAAAACGTACCTTTCCTCCTCCTCCTCCCCCATGCTCCCTCCTCTTTCTCTATTCCCAGTTTGAAACTGGGTTCCAGGCTGCAGAGCAAGCAGCATGGGGAACAGGGACACTAAAGGGCAGGTGTCCTCAGGGACTTATTGGGGCTCTGAGGATGGTGAGAACAGTCCTTTTGGCTGCTTACAGCAATCTAGGCTCCGCTCTGTGGCCCTGCTGGAGGGTCACTTACCCTGACAACACCGTAAAAACCTGTGTCTCTGGAACATTGATGCTAATTCTCTAAATCTGTGCTGTGTGTGCACCATGATACCTGTTCCGATTCCGATTGCTTTATAGCCACTTCGAGTTCTGTGACTGCATGCAAATGGGTTAGCCCATCTGAGCCCTAGATTCCTCATCTGTGAAGCAGGAATAGTAATACCCAACCCACAGAATATTGGAAGGATTGGAGATAAAGCATTTGATCAGGGCCCTCCCAGTAAGCCTGGCTCAACACCACGGGGAACTAAGCCTTGTATTCCAGACTCTCAGCTTTCTCCCTGCGTGCTGAGCAAGTCCCTTTTGGGCCCAAATGGCCATGGACATATCTGTGTGCCATAGATGGAGATATGGCTTTAGGAGAGATTCAGGCCCAATAAAAGTACATCATTGAAGGACAGGCTTTGGTGCAGGATGGATCAACAGAGACTTGTGTGGTGGGATTTCAGTCCCATGCTTAGACCTCCTCCAGCTTGGGGTGGGTGGGGCAGGGTTGTTGCCAGAAGCGTCAACACCCTGAGCCGCCCTACAAACCCATATTTGGGACTAAGGCCAAATGGTGCAGTAAGCAGTGGTTCCCCCAGACACCCCACTTCTTTCAGTACCCCTGCCTCAGCCAGCCAGGAGCACAAGGGTCTAAAACACGATTCACTCCAGGACCTAGGGCAGCGAGACAGGAGCCAAATGCACCCACCACCTGCTTTTGTGTGGCCCATGAACTACAGGTGGTTTTTTTACATTCTTAAATGGTTGAAACAAATCATAATAATAATATTTTGTCACACATGAAGTTCAGATTTCAGTGACCATAAATAAAGTTTTATTGTAACACAGCCAACAACCCTCTGTTTACAGATTGTCTATGGCTGCTTTCGGCAGAGTTGAGTTGTGACGAAGAACTAAAGGCCTGAAAAGCCTAAAATATTTACTCTCTGGCCCCTTAAGGAAGAGTATACTGATGCCCTACTCTAAGATCTTAGAGATTTAACAGGTCATGTGCCCAAAGATCCGCTTTCCGAGGAAGGGGCAAAACAACGGAACCCAGGCATGTGTCAGGCCAGCAGAAGACACACTGGGCAGGGAAGCTTTCCTGACCTCCCAGTGACACTAGAGGAGCTAAGGGGGGAGAACTGTCTAGTCCTGCAGGTGGGGCTGCTTCTGCCCACACTGGGATAAGGGGTATGGAGACAGTGGGGTTCAAGCATAGGACTCATTCTAGCTATATTGACAGCAGGATTCTAAAGGGGATTAATAGCCTTCACTGACAGCCTGAGCAAGAGCGAGACCCCGTCTCTACAAAAAATAGAAACCTTAGCCGGGCATGGTGGTGCACACCTGCACACCTCCCAGCTACCTGGGAGGCTGAGGCAGGAGGATCACTTGAACCCAAGATTTTGAGGTTGCAGTGATCTATGATGATGCCACTGCACTCTATCCTGGGTAACAGCAAGACCCTGTCTCAAATAAAACAGAAAGAAAGAAAAAAGAAATAGCCTTCAATGAACCCATCCCACCAGCCTCTCTGCCACGCTGGTGGCAGTGATTCTGCCTGAGGCCTTCATGTTCCCAGAGTCCTCAGCCCCCATGGGCTGGCCCTGCACAGCACGTTCATTGCTGGCCTCTCTCCCCTCTCTGCAGAATTCGCCTTCTGCCAGGTGGATGCTTCCATCGCTCTGCCTCTGGCCCTGGCCATCGTGTGTGACCTGCTCCAGCAGTGGGACCAGCTGGCCCCTGGACTGCCCATCCTGCTGGGATGGCTGTTGGGAGAGGATGACAACCTTGTGTCCTGTGTGGAGAGCATGCAGCAGGTAATCCCGGGGTGTCAGGGCAGTGGGAGGCAGGCCTGGAGTGCCCTAAACCCACTGGCTGCAGCACTTACAGGCTTAATTGGGTTTAATGCACCTGCCAAAATTGTGCTCCTGGATGCTTAGATGCAGAGCAGGAACCAGCATGTGTGATTAGAAAAGTCACCTGCTGGGTGCTGCTGTGGGCACTGGGGACACTTTCATGCTGACTTTTGGGGTTTCAATGGTAAGCCTTCAAATCGGTTCAGAGAGAAGACTTTGAAAGAAACCCCTTAGATGTTGAGAATGTAATTATGGAGAATGCTGCTTAATGAACATTGGAGTTAGCCTGGGGCTTCCTGAAGTTAGGTCTGAAGGTGAAGCATTTCCATAGAATTAGGGTCCTTCCAGAGAAATTGCTACTTGAAGAAAACTACTAGCCCCCTCCAGGGAGCTCAGTCCTATCTTGGTCTTCAGTTTCCCTATCTATATAGGGAAACTGAGGACCAAGACAAGCAGCAAAAACATCCGAAGAACTGAAATTCACAGCCACCAGCATCTGACTCAGCTGGCTTGGCATCCCAGCAGGCCAAGAGTTCAAAAAGCAGCCTGTTTATGGGAAATTTGGAGACATGATAAAGTGTCTGTGATAAAATGACCTTGAAAATTCACAGGATTATAGAAACTTGGTCTCATAATGAGAGACTAGTGTCTTGTGTTTGGTAATTCTTTGCTTTTTGGTCTGTTGCCCTTCCTCCCTCGCTCTCTGATTTCTAGATGCACCTTAAGGTCTAGGACCCACTCCCTTGTTGAGGTCTCCTTGTCAACATCAGTCCCCCAAAATATCTTGGCTTTGAACCACAAACACATCTTTATCAAAGGTCATGTTAAGTCTGGGGAAAAAATTCCTCTCTAGTGGAGAAGTACAATGAGTGAAAACAGAAGGTGACCTTCAAGGCTGCAAGTGGTGTGTGTGCATGGGTGTTGACAGGCGAGAGTGGGCCCTCTGTCAGGTGGGGGAGGGGCCACATCTTGCATCTGGCAGGGCTCTGCTTGGTCTGGACTGGGTCTGTCAACATTCCCTGTAAGGTTGACTTTTGGCTTTTTTCATTTGATTTAGGTGGAAGGAGACTACCTGTTTGAAAAAGAAGAAGTCAACTTTTGGGCTGAGACCCTGATTTTTGTGAAGTACCTCCACAAACACCTCTTCCATCTCCTCTCCAAGTCTGGCTGGCATCCCTCTAGCTCTGAGAGGCTCTGTCACCTTCAAAAAACAGCATCAGAGCAGTGCCACCTCCTTTCTCAGCTCTTTAAAGAGCTTCCACCAGCTGCTGAGTTTTTGAAGACAGTGGAGTTCACAAGGCTGCGCATTCAGGAGGAAAGGACTTTGGCTTGCTTGAGGCTGCTGGCCTCTCTGGAAGGAAAGGAAATGGACACCCCAGTTCTCAGTTCTTTGGACTCTCCTGCAGAAGTGAAGCCGTTAACTCTTCCACAAACAGAAATGGCATGTTGAAGAAAGAAATATGGGGGGATTGGGGGTGTGTGTGGATTATTCCTCCACTCAATCTACAGGCAACACATTGAACATAAATTCACAAATGTTGTCCCTTTCATGCCTGCACCACTTCTGTGCGTCTGATCTTCTGGCGCTGCTTACAGAGGAACTTTTCTTCTGCTCACTCATTCGAGGCAGCCTAGTTTATTGCTGCTACTGTAGGAATTGAGGTGACCCTGTTGGAGATTTACTCTGTCCCCAGGTGCAGGCCACCTGCAGGCCTAAATTAGCCTTTTTCATCCCCCAGGGGCTCTGATGTCCCACCCTACATTCTCTGTGAAGGGACAGAGAACTTTTAGCACACACATGATTCCTCCCCCCTTTTTTTAGCTGTATATAGGGACTGGATTAGTGGGCAAACAGCCCATTTGGTAAGACTTCTAAATTTTATTCCATTCTAGTAAAGCAGAAATTAGGTTCCAAATATTGGATCCTGGGAGAAGGATCAACCTTATACAAACAATTTAGTTTTTATTGTCTGTATGTGTAAGTCCTGCAGTGGCCTTCACATTCCATCCTAATTATTAAAAGAGCCATTGAGAGCTCCCCTTATCCCTCCAAAAAGTGTGTGTGCTAATGCTAGGAAACCTGATTTGTCCTCTCGCTAGGAAACCCAGTGAAAGCTATGTGTACTCTTGGCTATTAGGAGGAACCTGGGGAAAGGAAAGCCGAATAAATGATTTATTTGATGCCTACACTGTTTATTATCATTTACTTGGTGGCAGTAACAAGATGATTCTCATTTAAGATGCCCATAAACATATTTATCCATTTCAGTGATTTAATCAACAACAGTTTTCTGCCTTTTCAAGCCAAGCCCAGCCCGCTTCTGCAGGCACCCAGCAGGTGGCGCTCTTGCATATGGTTTGCTGCTGGTCCTGTTTTTCAGGTTTACCATTTTTAATTTATAACTTCAGAATGTTACCCACAGATAGTTGTCTTGAGATTCATAGCTTGGATGGGTTATATCCTCATCACACTCATTTTCCATCCTAGTTATCTAAAAAAAAGCCACTTCAGTCATAGTATATAAAGTTGTTCCAGCTTTTAGGGTCTGTACAAATTTTTAAATACTCTTAGGTGAGCAGTCACTTAGAATTATTTTATTGATGTTTGAGGATCTGAAGGGGGAGGCTAGAGGAAAGAGAGTTTGACATGACCATTTCCTACTGCAGAAAAGCTGACATTTCAAGTGTAATTAGTCTCTTTGAGAGAAAACCACCTAACACTAAAACTGTGGCCAATAAGCTGGCCACGGTGCACCCCTACTGTCCCAGCTACTTGGGAGGCTGAGGCAGGAGGATCACTTAAGCCCAGGAGTTTGAGGCTGCAGTGAGCCATGACTGTGCCTGTGAATAGCTACTGCACTCCAGGCTGGACAACAAGCAAGACCCTGTCTCTGAAAGGGGAAAAAACACAAAAGCAGCTAGTGGGAGTATAGGAAAAAGACTCTGTAAGAAGAGGCAGGAAAGAAGTTAACTCAGTGTCCCCGGTTTTGTCCTAAAGAGAACAGGAATTCCCTGGGTGGTTTTGCAACCATTCAGCCCCAAATGTGGTTTCTGTGATCCTGAATTAATTACCTAGTTAGGCATCTGTGTAGCCCACACCTGATGGAAAGTTGCCAACCTAACACTTGGTTGTTGTTCTAAGACCTAGCTGGTAAGAAGTCAGAGACTTGGTGGCATAAGTGGTGATGAACACAGGAGAATAATTAGAAACTGACCCAACAAAGCCCTGCTCACTGGAAGAGGCCAGTGTTCCTTTTTTTCCCCCATTTAAAACGAAATAAAAGCACATAATAATAAAAGTATTTTAGACTAGCAGGTACTCTGTACCCATAACACGTTTATATGCTATCTCCAGGAATCCTACCTAATTTGCAAAGTGGATGTTCTTGTCTCTGTTGACTGGGAATTAGCCCAGGTTTAGGAGGACCGATATTTCCCCTGGTTTTTTATCTGAAATCTTATTACTAATCTACAGTGCCTGAGCAATGGCTGCTTCACACTTTGCTAATGCATCTCCAGGGGAAACAATACCCTACTCTCAGGGCCACCCTCAAACCCTTGGCTTTGGGGTTATTTCAACAAAGAACAAGCCAGAATGCTGCCACTGTGGCCCAGCCTGTCTAGGGGCCAGTGCAGGGTGAGTGGTAACAGTGAAAGCAGTCACTTCTTTCTGAGCTCACTACCTACCCTTGGCTCCAAGCTCTAGGGCCCAAGATTTAGGTGGCTTCTGTGGACCTCTATCCATCTAGTCATAGCCCAGGCTTTCTCCATTTTTATGCTTTGTCAATTTAATTTGTAAGATGGTTTTGTGGTCTTTGTCTTTTAAACATCTTCACATCTCAACAAAGGTGAGAGATGAGTAACGCAGGAATACTGTCTTAGTTTTACAAGTAAGGAAACCCAACTACCAAAGAGATTATGCGATTTGCCTAAGACCACATGACTTGCAAGGGGCAGGGCCTGAACTCCAGGCCAGCATTCCTGATCCTAAAGTCCTCTCAGTCCTACCCTGGACTATGGTTCCCTGGGCAGTGAGGGGAGTACAGCCTTCTCTGGGGGCAGGCCTAGCTCACTCTGTTCCAGGGTAACTGACAGAGTGAGCACCAAATGCCATGAGTACAAGAAGACACAGCGAGAAAATATGTCACGTAGCTTCTTTCCCTGGCGGGTCCTGAACCTTACAGCTTGGGCCCAGTTGCGGCGTGGGCTGCCAGGTGGGTGAAATCGTGGGCCCGGCTCCAGCTTTTTGGTAGCCTGTATAGACATGGAGTGAGAAGTGTCCTGGACCAGGCTCCGGATCCGCCTGAGTGGGGCTTCAGCGGCTCTCGCCTCACTGGGCGCTAGGTGGGGGTGTCTGCCCCGTGCCCGCACGGGGGCGGAGCGCCTGTTGGCAAAGCGCATTTCTTAGTGCAAGCTGTTGGGGTGTGGGGCTGGCGAGAGAGGAAAAGAGAGGAGCCCCACCTGGTCTGCCTCAGCGGGATCCTGCAGCCCTAGCCGAGCTAAGGCAGGGCACGGCGCCGACCCCCCGACCCCCAAGACCGAAGAGGGAAGAGCTTGGAGGGCACGATAGGCCCAGGCTGTGCCAGGCGGGGAGACTCGGCCGGCAGCTGCACCCCAAGCCCTGGGAGCGCTGGGGAAGACTGGACCGACCAGCAGATGGAAGGGGTGGCGGGAAGTCGCCTCCATGCCTGCACGGTTCTCCCGGCCTTTCCTCCCCTCCTCGGAGTTCGCTCCCCCGCCCGGGACGCCCCGCGCCACTCCGCGCCTTTGGCCCTGGCTCAAGGTCTTGTGATGTGATTAGCAAAGCCAGCGCCTTGTCCTCAGACACTCATCCCTGCCCGGCAGGCCCCGGCGCTCAAGCCCTGTTTACTGAGCCTGGGCGGGGAGGGGGCGGAGAAACGGGCCCAGGCTCCTCCGGGCAAGACTGCCGCAGCAGCCGCCCGCGTGGCCGTTCCTGCCCCCACCCCCACCGCGTCTCCACGTGCGGTCGGGCTTGAGCTGCCACCTATGAGACACAGGCCCCAAGCCCCCGCCTGTCAAGCAGAGCACCCTTTGCAAACCAGCCGAGCCGCGCGGACGGTTGCAATATTCTTGCATTTTGCAATTCCCGCGCCCAGTGCACAAACCGAGGGTGGGAGATAAAAGCTCCACAAGTCCGCCCAGGAGGATCGGGCGGGGAAAAACACGTCCGGAGCTGCAGAATCCCGGGCACGTTGAACGTGCTGGGGCTTTCCAACACTGCAGCCCCAGAGGAGAAGAGCCATAGCTTCCCGCCGCCACCCAGCAGCACCCATCTGGGCCAGCTCTCCACGCTGCCCCGGGCGCCCAGGCAGCCCGCCCCGCCCCGAGGCCTCCCGCCCCCTCCCCCAGAGGAAAAAAAATTGGCGGCGGCCAATGGGAGGCCAGGAAGGCGCCTGACGTCCGCGAGCCGGCGGGCGGCGTTGCCTGGAGACCCCGGCGGGGTCAGCGTTCTGTCCCCTCCCCCGGCGCGCCCGCCCTGCCGCTGCCGCGCTTCCCCGCTCTATATAGGGCGCGCGCTCGCGGGCCGCCGAGTTCCAGCAGTCCGCGAGCTGCCGTCGGCTCCGCGGGGGGGGGGCGGGCCGGGCACCCCAGGGCGCGGAGCAGCCCTCTTAGCTTTCCTCTCCTCTCCCCCGACTCCGCACTCCAGGCCACCCTCTAGCCAGCCCGAGCCGCTTCCCTCTGCCTCTCCTCTCGCCCCCCAGCAAACTTTCGGTCCCTCCCCGCCCCTCGCCCGTTATTCGTCGTGGCTCGAGCCCGGCCGCAGCGCCCCGAGGGCTCCTCCCGACCTCACTGCCTGCAGCTCCGACCATTTCGGGACCCAGAAACATGTCGACCACACTTCTGTCCGCCTTCTACGATATCGACTTCTTGTGCAAGGTACGCCGGGGAGCAGGAAGGGAGGAAGGCGGGCGAGCAGAAGCCATTCGAGTTGTCAGACTTTGCCTCTGTCCTTGGATTTGGGGGGCCCCTCCCCACCTTGACTTTCGGTCGGGAAAAGTCCCTGAGTTTGCAGTAGTGTGTGCTAGCGCCTCGTAGGCGGGGAGAAGGACCGGGGAGGGAGGAAGGGCAGGAGGGAGCTGCTGTAGCTGTTTAGTTTCTCCGCAGCCGACCGCGGCCACGCTGCCCGGGGCTTCCCGGACGGTGTTTGCGCCGCCCACCCCGGCGGCCCACGGGCAGAAGATCACATGTCGAGACCCAGCGCGGCCCGGGGTGGGCGTCCTCCACTAACCCGCTGCTTCCAACGCGAACTTGCTGCTTTTGCGCGTGCATGGGTGGAGGGTGGTGGAGGCCAACTCGAAATCCTCAAAAAGGGGGAAAAAGAAGAACCAGGCTGGGAGTTCTCTGCAGCTCGCCCCAGCACTTCCCCCCTCTTCCGTTTTTCATCCTCTCCCCGCTCCCCTCCCTTTGGCAGACGGAGAAATCCCTGGCCAACCTCAATCTGAACAACATGCTGGACAAGAAGGCGGTGGGGACGCCCGTGGCCGCCGCCCCCAGCTCCGGCTTCGCGCCGGGCTTCCTCAGACGGCACTCGGCCAGCAACCTGCACGCGCTCGCCCACCCCGCGCCCAGCCCCGGCAGCTGCTCGCCCAAGTTCCCGGGCGCCGCTAACGGCAGCAGCTGTGGCAGCGTGGCGGCTGGCGGCCCGGCCTCCTACAGCACCCTCAAGGAGCCGTCGGGGGGCGGCGGCACAGCCCTGCTCAACAAGGAGAACAAATTCCGGGACCGCTCGTTCAGCGAGAACGGCGAGCGCAGCCAGCACCTTCTGCACCTGCAGCAGCAGCAGCAGCAGAAAGGGGGCGGCGGCTCCCAGATCAACTCCACGCGCTACAAGACCGAGCTGTGCCGGCCCTTCGAGGAGAGCGGCACGTGCAAGTATGGCGAGAAGTGCCAGTTCGCGCACGGCTTCCACGAGCTCCGCAGCCTGACTCGGCACCCGAAGTACAAGACGGAGCTGTGCCGCACCTTCCACACCATCGGCTTCTGCCCCTACGGGCCGCGCTGCCACTTCATCCACAACGCGGAGGAGCGGAGGCCCGCACCGTCGGGGGGCGCCTCCGGGGACCTGCGCACTTTCAGCACGCGCGACGCGCTGCACCTGGGCTTCCCGCGGGAGCCCCGGCCCAAGCTGCACCACAGCCTCAGCTTCTCAGGCTTCCCGTCGGGCCACCACCAGCCTCCGGGGGGCCTGGAGTCGCCGCTGCTGCTTGACAGCCCCACGTCGCGCACGCCGCCACCGCCCTCCTGCTCTTCGGCCTCCTCCTGCTCCTCCTCTGCCTCCTCCTGCTCCTCGGCCTCTGCGGCCTCCACGCCCTCGGGCGCCCCGACGTGCTGCGCCTCCGCGGCGGCGGCAGCGGCTGCGGCAGCGCTGCTCTACGGCTCGGGGGGCGCCGAGGACCTGCTGGCACCCGGCGCCCCGTGCGCCGCTTGCTCGTCGGCCTCCTGCGCCAACAACGCCTTCGCCTTCGGCCCGGAGCTGAGCAGCCTCATCACGCCGCTGGCCATCCAGACCCACAGCTTCGCCGCCGTGGCCGCCGCCGCCTACTACCGCAGCCAGCAGCAGCAGGGCCTGGCGCCCCCCGCGCAGCCCCCGGCGCCGCCCAGCGCGCCCCTCCCCGCCGGGGCCGCTGCGCCGCCCTCGCCGCCCTTCAGCTTCCAGCTGCCGCGCCGCCTGTCCGAGTCGCCCGTGTTCGACGCGCCCCCCAGCCCCCCGGACTCGCTGTCGGACCGCGACAGCTACCTGAGCGGCTCCCTGAGCTCCGGCAGCCTCAGCGGCTCCGAGTCCCCCAGCCTCGACCCGGGCCGCCGGCTGCCCATCTTCAGCCGCCTGTCCATCTCCGACGACTGAGGCAAGAGGGCGCCAGTGAGGAGGAAGGAAGGGAAGGCCGTTGTGGGGGTGTTGGAGGATGTCCTCTAGTCCCTGCTGGGGGCGCGGGGTGCGGTGACATAGGCCGCAGGCAGACTGCAGACCCGACCGAGCACTTGGACTCGAACTCTGCTGGGAGGGGGGCCCTACCCCTCCTTTTTCGGTTTCCTCTTGTTTTGTTTTTTTATTATTATTTTTATTATTACGAAGTTTCATTCTTGTTGAGCAAAAAAGAAAGCCAACGAACTTTTTGTGTTGATGAACAAAATATTCACAACGGGGCAGTTGTGATGCGAATAGAACAAAAAAACCAAACAAACTTTTTTAGGTGTCGATGAGTTTGGGACTTCAGGAAAAATCAACCCAGCACCAGCAGCTACCAACCACCATTCCATCTCTTCACTTGAAAAGCATTAGTTACAGTCCAGATGTGGGAACTCCTATCAAGAAGTTCCTAATTGTTTCTCAGACCAGTGTAAACAAACCAGCCAACCACCACCTTGCTAAACCTATAAGCTTTTAGAATCCAATATTTCTGCCAAGAATATGCCTTGATATTAGCCCTCAGCCCCATAGGGTTGAGGGGTTTTCGTGTTTTTTCTTTTTTTAACAAAGTTATATGTCTTGGGGGGGGGACAAACCCTTGCATTCCAAAGGTTCATACTGGTTACTGGTTTCATTGCCACCACTTCGTGGATGTTTAGTTTAAAACCATTTTGTCTGCTCTCTGGAAGCCTTGGGCAGAGCTTAGTTTGTAATTGTTGGGGAATATAACTGCTGAATTTTTAGCTATTTTGAGTTGATTCGCACCACTGCACCACAACTCAATATGAAAACTATTTAACTTATTTATTATCTTGTGAAAAGTATACATTGAAAATTGTTCATACTGTATTTATCAAGTATGATGAAAAGCAATAGATATATATTCTTTTATTATGTTAAATTATGATTGCCATTATTAATCGGCAAAATGTGGAGTGTATGTTCTTTTCACAGTAATATATGCCTTTTGTAACTTCACTTGGTTATTTTATTGTAAATGAGTAAAAATTCTTAATTTAAGAGATTGTATGTAATATTTATTTCATTAATTTCTTTCCTTGTTTACGTAAATTTTGAAAGATTGCATGATTTCTTTGCAGAAATCTATCTTGATGCTGTGGAAATAGTTTGAGGAACATCTTATGAGTTTTCTTAGAATGTATAATGGTTGTAGCCCATCCAACTTTAAAGGAAAAAATGACCACATACTTTGCAATCAGGCTTAAATGTGGCATACTTTTCTAATTCCAACTTTATAAACTAGCAAAAAATATTTGCTTTTGTTCCACCAGTTCTACTGTGACATACTCTTGAGTATCAAGACATGTAGCAATAATGGGGGGGGTAGTCTCTCAGTGCCTTTGGAAGGGCCGAACTTGCCTTAAATCTTCCTCAACCAAATAAGTATTTTGTTTATCAGTGCTTGAGAGAATCTGAATGTAGGATGGGTTCAACTGCACAAAAGGAAAAGATTTTTACCACTTTTTTTTATATAGATATAAAGTGAAGAGGCCACCTCTTAGCGCTGAAATGGTATGTAGTACATGAATATGCCTTGTTTAATTACAGAAAATTCCCATACTTGTACTATTTTTTTTTCCATGTAGAAAGGCAGGAATGTTTCCCAAGCTTTCCTGGACAGCGGATGAATGAGCAGTAGCTTTAGTTTGTTTGTACGTAGGTACAGTTGGAGCACTATGTATGTACTCTCTGGACTACTTTGACAGAGTAGGTTTTTGAATGTAACAAGATAAGTCAACTTGAGTTGTAATATATTTTGGGGAATCAGTTCACTACAAATTGTGACTGTAAACATTGTACTGTAAATGTTTTGTAGTTTTCCCCCAATAAAATTTTTGGGAAAAAAGATGACTAATGTGTAAGATAGCTTTCTTTTTAAACAAATGTGTAGCTGTCTAGCTTCCCACTGCCTTGTCAGGCGGTCCCCCACGTCTTGGGGAAGGTGGGGGAGGATTGGGAGAACTGGCTGTGTGTCCACTTGTGCCTGTATGTATTTTATAGCAAGTTCTTTTAGCTGAAAGAAAGTAATTATTTGGACTGTCAAGGGCATTAGTTAGCAGTTCCCTTTGGTAATAAGATGCATCCCAGAGTTGGCTGGCTGGTGGCAGGGCCTGGCGGGAAGGCCTGAAGGGGTGTGGCCCGCCTGTGAGTCACCAGGGTTGGATCACGTGGCTGCAGTGGCAGCTGAAGGTCCGATTTTTCGCTGGGACGCCCAGGAAACAACTGCTTGGGTGGGGAAGGGGAGGAGGATCTTTCTGCCAGCCTGTGGCCTGCTTGACCTAAGTGCTGAGCTGGAGGTGGAAGGCTATGCCGGGATTTTCCTGGGTGGCTGAACTGAGGTTGTGCCTGGATTTTGCAAAGCTTGATTGTGTCCTTGTTCAGAGAGGAGCAGAAGGGAAGGAAGATTAAACAGGTTAAACTTATATCTGGGTGATGTTTGTTTACACAGACAACTTCCTCTGGGAATGAGCACATACAAGTTATTTATGCAAAAGGCATTAGTGTCTGTGTTTTAGAGGACTCTAGCCAAACAGCAAATCCAACCCAGGTCTCTGGAAAAAGGAAGAAAACAAGACTGCATTGAGTTTTCCTGCTGGTTTTCAAACAGTTGAACAAAATCTTACTATGGTGACTGTTTTTCCCTAACTTTAATCATTTTAAAAACAAAATCAGGTTCATTAACCGATTCTTATTTTTTTCTTCTCCACCCCCGAGCTCGTACACACACACACACACACACACACACACAGTTCAGACACTTTGCAAAGTAGGTAAGAGATTTAGCAATAGTTTGCTCTCATCTACAGCAGCTGGGCTCTATCAATCCTTGCATCCCTGCTTGCCGGCCCTGCATTAGCCAGGGTCTCCGGTGACTCACAGCTGAGCCAGCGGGGGAGGGGGTGCAGTCTGGTAGAAGCACCAGGCCCGGGGCAGCTGTTTCACGTTAACGATGATTGCACTGGTGTTAACTGGAGCGTTTTGGTGCTTGGTGCGCGCTGCCAAAAGGGATGGGGAACAGTTTCAAAGTTCTCCCAGAGGCTGGCCCCTGACTGAAGGCCTCAGCAGCGGGGGCGGGGAAGCTCCAGGCCAAGGAGGGCTCGGGCAGGGTGAAGACCCTGCAGGCTCCCGGGCCTCTACACCATAAAGAATGTGCAACAGGGAGGAAAAGTCTAAAATGTGGGGCTATTTAGGCTAAGCTGCATTTTAAAGGGCTTGTTTCCACTTCATTCCAAAACTTATTTTTCTAAACAAGTACTTTTGATCAGCTGGAATGTTAGACTTTTTTTATGGGGTAAGCCACATTCGTTTTTTAAAAATTGGTTTGTTTGAAAGTCCAGCTGCTAGGATCTGAAGTTTTAGACTGTAGGCTCAGTGGAGCGTGGAAAGCTAGAGGGGATCGTTCAGAATTTCCTCTGCCCTGACCAGTGGAGGGTACCAGGTCATTGTCTTTCTGCAGCGGCTGGAAGTAACAGCAAACAAAACTCCACTATTGCTTGGTCACCCTCAGGAACGTTTTCTTGTAAATTAAGGGAAGAGAAGCAAAAAATTGCAAGCAAGGACAAACCAGGATTCCCATCTAGAACTGACTGTGGCTCCAAGGTGCAGCTACACTCAAAGTCCCTTCATAGTCACTTGCAAAAGTGAACCCAGAATGTGATGGTGTTTCGAATGTCTCCTAGTAGCCTTTCCACTAGCTGTTTGAAGACTAAGGTATTTTTTTAAACAGCCCAATTAATGTTTGCCACACATTTCAGAGAAAGGATGTGTGTATATACATCTTTTCCACCCCACCCCCACCCCTCACACTGTCTGAATCTACTGTTGGGTGTGTAAAACTTAAAAAAAAAAAAAAAAGGCCACACAAAAACACTATTGAGAAAGCCGAGGCTCTGCACCCGCCCGTGGGAACAGATGGAGGACTGTGAGCCCCGCAGCGGCTCAGCCTCCGGGATGAGCAGCCAGGCCTGGTGGCAGGAAAGACACAGAAACCCCAGGGAGGGGGGTGGACACGCGCTGGAGGGGCCGCTGGAGAGGGAGCACCAGACCTTGGAAGGGAACCGTCCTCAGGCACCGCTCTCCTTCAGTTTTGCTTGCGGTGGCAAGTGAGGGCGGATGTCACTCTCACGGAGTTTTCTTGAAACCGGAAGTTGGGGCTCTGCACCTTCCCCGGCCTTGGAGTTAGTGGCAGCAGACGCCACGTTTAGAGGGAGGCTGGCCTGGCCGGCTGCTGGGCTGAGGCTAGTCAGGCTCACCTCCCATCACTGTTTCCTCATCTGATTGTATTTATTTGTTCTTCCTCACACTCCTGGGGGCTGTGCAGAGCGGTGGCCATCCAGGGCAGTCCCAGTTCTGTGCTGCTGGCAAGGCCAAGAAGGGAGGGAGGAAGGGAGGGCTGGGGCAGGGCGGGGCGGGGCGGGCCTGGTGCTGGACAGGCCAGCCGCTCAGGAAGAAGCCGGGCAGCGGGAAGCCACAGCACCTCCAGGGCCCAGCCCTGGCGAGCTGGGTCCCCCAGCCTCCCCTACCGGTCTTTGCTAGACCTGGAAAGTGTGTGTCTAACCGTGTGTCTCTGGAGGGAGGTCTGTGGGGTGTGCCTCTATGGGAGGGCTGTTTGTGTGTGTGTGTGTGTGTGTATGTGTGTGTGTGTGCGTCCTTGCCTGTCTGCATGTGTGTACGCGTTTGTGGGTGTTGCCCTGTGTGCAGGTGTTCAGTAGTCTGTGTCTGTGTGTCGTGTTGTAGGGGAGTATTGGTGCATGGGTCTGTGTGCTTCTGTGCATGGATGTTGATGAGTGAAGTACATTATGACTGTAGGATATGAGGGTGTGTGTTGCTGTGTGTTTGGATGTGGGTGTGTCTGTTGTGTGTAAGTGTGTTCATGGGTGTGTGTGCATGTTGGTGTGGGTTTGGGTGTCTCTGCTGCTGTGTGGATAGGTGTGTGGGTCTTTGGGGCATGGGGTCCAGGGCTGTTCCAGTGTGTTTAGGCCTGAGTGTGGGTGTGTCTGTTGTGACATGCGGCAGTGCATGCAGGTGAGCGTGAGTGTAGGTGCGGGTTGGGGCGTGCCTGTGGGCAGTTGCTGCCGGGTGGGTAGCTGTGGGGGTCTGTGGGGTGTCAGAAGCCGGAGGTGTTGCCGTGTGTTTGGGTCTGGATGTGTGTGTTGCGGTGTGCGTGTGGGTGTGTCTGGATGTGGGTGCGGGTGTTAGCTACCAACACCTACAGAGGAAGAGCAGTCCTTCTCAGCGTGCCTCTTTCAAGTTTAAAAACTGCTTTCAAAACCCGGAAATGACGGCCAGGCTGGCATCCGGCTTCCTGCGGGGCGGTGGGCAGGACAGGGCTGGGTGGGAGGGTGGCTGACGGCCCCCTGCCTGTGAGGACCCTAGGCCCACCTTCATTGCAGGCACACCTGCCAGGACAGGCCTTGTGTGCCCCTTGCTGTCTGCAGGGACATTTTTAGAAACAATTCGTTCTCTGGGGGGAGGGGGAGGGGCCCTTTTATTTTCCTCTGGGCAGAAATAGCTCTTGTCAGCTAGGCCTTCTTGTGCCCTCTGGGGTGAGAGGCAGCTCTGAAATAGAAGGAAAGATATTAAGGACTCGAGACAGACAAGAAAACTCCTGAGCTCGCCGAAACCAAGTTTAAAATATTTCTCTAAAAATAAGCTTTGTTTTCCTTGTGGATTCCTCTGGCAATCGGGCCCTTGTGTCAGGGTGCTTAGCTGGCCTGGGAAGCCAGGTGGAATTTTTTAAAAAGCGAGTGTTTCCCAGCTGTGGCCTTGGAAAGTTCTCTGTTTTCCATTTATTAAACTCCTAGTTTCCGGCTAATTAAAATTATTTTCAAATAAAACCTTGCGGCCCAGCAATATTTGATGAAGCAGAATTCCCAGTGACCCCTATGCAGGGCGCCGGGCTGGGCTGTGGGACAGCCTGTGTCACCTCTACTGGGCTCAGTACCAGTTTTATGGGGAGGGTCCCCGTGGTGACTGCTTGCAGGGCGGCAGTGGCTGAGCCCTGCACCACTTGCAGGGGCTGCAGGGTAATTGGAAACCTGTTGTTTGTTTCCCCTGCACCACTAACAACCTGAGCAGAGGGGGTGCGCTTCAGAGGAGAGGAACTTGGCTGAGGTATGTGGCCATGTGATCCTCTGCTGCCTGGGTGTCCCTCCCTGGCCTGGCTACTGGTGACGCTTCAGCTCCCAGCAGGCCAATGTGCAGGGCTTCACTGAGCACCTACAGGATGCCCAGACCAGTGTCAAGCCCCAGAGTTAGGTGGGCCTCGATGGACCTCTCAGGCCACATGTTTGTTATGCAGGTGGAAGTCAGAGACACTGCGGTGGAGGCACGTTTTGCTGAGGGCCGGAGCAGGTGAGATTCAGACTAGTTGGAAGATACCCCTCCCCTGCCCCCGATTCAGCCCAGACAGCAGCAGGGCAGGACGCTGGGTCAGCTGGCCAGGCCTTTCATTCACATCACAGGTCACTCTTGATTGTCTAGCACAGGGGTCCTCAAACTTTTTCAACTGAGGGCCAGTTCACTGTCCCTCAGACTGTTGGAGGGCCGGATTATAGTTTTAAAAAACTATGAACAAATTCCTATGCACACTGCACATATCTTATTTTGAAGTAAAAAAACAAACGGGCAAAAACACCCACAGGTGGCCCGCGGGCTGTAGTTTGAGGGCGCCTGGTCTAACAAATGCCTGCACTGGAGTAAGAGGGGTGAGCTGCCAGGCGGCATCCCTGCCTGCATGGAGCCTGCATGTTTTCTAGCTTTTGCGTGTTGCAGCATGAATCAGCCTTTCATTCCTTTTTATGACTGAATAACATTCCATTGCATGCACATACTGCATTCTGTGTATCCATTCATTGGTGGATGGACATTTGGGTTGTTTGTATTTGTACCTTTTTGTTGAATCATGCTGTTATGAACTAAGGTGCTAGTCTTTGTGTGACCATAGGCTTTTTTTTTTTTTTTTTTGAGACAGAGTCTCACCTTGTTGCCCAGGCTAGAGTGAGTGCCGTGGTGTCAGCCTAGCTCACAGCAACCTCAAACTCCTGGGCTCAAGCGATCCTCCTGCCTCAGCCTCCCAAATAGCTGGGACTACAGGCACGTGCCACCATGCCTGGCTAATTTTTTCTCTGTATATATTAGTTGGCCAATTAATTTCTTTCTATTTTTATAGTAGAGATGGTGTCTCGCTCTTGTTCAGGCTGGTTTCGAACTCCTGACCTCAAGCAATCCGCCGCCTCGGCCTCCCAGAGTGCTAGGATTACAGGTGTGAGCCACCGCGCCCAGCCTTGAGGGGATGGCTGCTGATAGACACAGGGATTCTTTTGGGGTTGATGAAAATGTTCTAGAATTAGGTAGTGGTGACAGTCACACAACCTTGTGAATATATTATTATGTATACATTTGTACACTTTGGTGAATTTTCTTTTTTTCTGTTTTAGAGACAATACCTCGCTCTGTCGCCAAGGTTGAAGTGCAGTGGCACCATCATTGCTCAATGTAACCTCCAATTCAAGCCATCCTTCTGCCTCAGCCTCTCAAATAGCTGGGACTACAGTGTGCCACTATGCCCAGCTAAGTTTTTTTATTTTTGGTAGGGACAGGGTCTTGCTATGTTGCCCAGGCCAATCTCAAAATTCTGGGTTTAAGTGATCGTCCCACTGGGCCATCCAAAATGCTGAGATTATAGGCGTGAGCACCGAACCTGGTCTAGTTTGGTGAATTTTATCATATGTGAATTATATCTCAATTTTTTCAAAAAGTATACTCACAAGCCAAAATCCAGCTATAAAGGGGAAGGACAGGGTACTAGCGGAGGCTCTCTCAGGGAAACTGGCCTCACCTAGGGTCTAGGAAGCCCCTAAAGAAGCAGGAAGGGCAAAGGGCCAGCAAAAGAGCTTTCCAGGCAAAAGGAGCAGCTAGTGCAAAAGCCCCGTGGTGGAAGGGTTCGGGGGATGGATCCAGAGTGGGCAGAAAGGCAAGGGTGCCTGGGGGTACAAAGCAGAGCAGCAGGGCACAGGGTGGCTCTTGGGGAGGTGGGCTCAGCCCCCAAGAGATCTCTCACCTGCCCCCTGCCCATTCAGTAAGCCCCTATTAGAGCATCATAGACAATTGTCCCTCGGTATGCGCGTGGGGGATTGCTTCCAGGAACCCACCCACTTCCATATACCCAAATCTGCACCTACTCAAGTCCTGCAGTGGGCCCTGCGGAATCTGGCCCTCCGTATATTAATACAGGGGTTTCACAGCCTGTGAATACTGTATTTTTTATCTGTGTTTGGTTGAGAAAATGCAGAGTAGACCCATGCAGTTCAAACCTGTGTTGTTCAAGGGTCAACTGTCTTTGGTTCGATGATTTCTGCAGTGTTGTCTTCTTATATTATCCTTGCAACTTTTTAATATTTTAGTTAAATGTTTTAGATTAACTTTTTCAATGTAAAAAAATTGCCCTCAACCCTACCCCTCCTCCCAACTTATGCGAATTCAAACACTCTTGGAAAGGGGACTCAGTTGGACCTTTCACTTCAGAGCCCAGCATGGTATCCTAAGTGGAAAGAGCTGGAGCTGGAATCAGATGGGAGAAATGGGTCCCCAGGTGCTGCCAGTTATTCATTGGGTGACACTGAGCACAGTTCACAGCCTCTTTGAACCTCACTTTCTTCATATGAAAAATGGGTTAATCCATTGTTGTTACAAAGATTAAGTGAGATAATATGAGGCAAAGGGCTTTGCTGAGGGCCTAGAGGTGATACAAGTTCAAAAAGTATTAGCTGCTGTTACTATTACTGTAAGGTATCCTGATCTTCCACAGCCCCCTCCCCGAGGAATTGTTAATGCCTTAACAATTCTAACAGTTACTATTTATGGAGTTCATATTATATACTAAAGGTTTACATACGTTAATATAGTCCTTATTAGCAACCCACGACTAGAGGTACTGTTGATATTCCCATTTCAAAGATGAGGAAACTGAGCTAAAAGAAGTTGTTATATGCCCAAGGCTATGTGGCTAAGCAATGGTTGAGGCAGAATCCAAACGAATCTGAGCTTTTGCTCCTTCGAATCACCCCAGGCTGCCTTTTCTGACTCCTCTCTACCTGCCTTACTCCCCTCCCACCTGTCTGTAAAACATAGATCCTCCAAGAAGCCTTCCAGGATTTCATTCCAGGGCAGACTGTGACCTGCCTCATCTGTGCTTTTAAAACACAATTAAGCTGGGGCACAGTGGCTCATGCCTGTAACCCTAGCACTTTGGGAGGCCGAGGCAGGAGGATTACTCAAGCCCAGAAGTTTGGGATCAGCCTGGGTAATGTTGCAAGGCCTTGTCTCTACAAAACCTAAAAAAGTTAGCCGGGCATAGTATTGCACATGTGTAGTCCCAGCTACTCAGGAGGCTGAGGCAGGAAGATCTCTTGAGCCCAGAAGTTGGAGCTGCAGTGAGCTATAATGATGCCACAGCACTCCAGCCTGGGTGACGGAGCAATACCCTGTCACAAAACCAAAACAAAACAAAACCCCACAATTAGTTTAAATCACTCTTCTGCTCAAAATCCTCACTCAGAATACAATCCAAAATCTTAACAAGGCCTACAAGCTCCCCATCCCTCCACCTTTCTGAACTGGCTTCTGCTTCCCTCATCCTGCTCTAGCCCCATCGGCCTCCTTGCCGGGCCTTGATTGGGCTGGGCTTGCTCTCTGTCTCAGGGCCTTTGCACTTGCTGTTACTTCTGCCATGCTCTTCCACACAGGTGTTTCCTTCAACTTCCTGCTGGCTATAGTCTTTCAGGGGGCCACCCAGACCACCCTCTCTAAAACAACAGGCCCATCTGGCATTCCTTCTCTCTCATCCTGCTTTATTATCCTCTTTTATTTTTTGGTAGGGACAAGGTATTGCTATGTTGCCCAGGTTGGTCTCGAACTCCTGGCCTCAAGCGATCCTCCTACCTTGGCCTCCCAAGGAATTACACATGTGAGCTACTACCCCTGGTCTGTATCCTGCTTTATTGTTTTCCCTAGCATTAGTCATCCTCTGACGTATTTCAGATGCCTTTGTTTATGCATATATTGTGTTTCCTCCCTAGACTCTAAGCTTCTTGAGGCAGACACTGTCCCCAGAACAGGGAGAAACCACTGAGGACTTTTAAGCCAGGGAGTAAGATAACCACATTTGCATTTTAAAATGATTTATCTGGTGATGGTGCAAATAGTAGACTTGGGTAACATATGATTTCTTATGAAAAAAAAAAAAATTTTTTTTTGAGACAGTCTCCCTTTGTTGCCCGGGCTAGAGTGCTGTGGCGTCAGCCTCGCTCACAGCAACCTCAAACTCCTGGGCTCAAGTGATCCTCCTGCCTCAGCCTCCAGAGTAGCTGGGACTACAGGCATGTGCCACCATGCCTGGCTAATTTTTTCTATTTTTAGTTATCCAGCTAATTTCTGTCTATTTATAGTAGGGACAGGGTCTCACTCTTGCTCAGGCTGGTCTCGAACTCCAGACCTCAAGCAATCCTCCTGCCTCGGCCTCCCATGGTGCTAGGATTATAGGCATGAGCCACCACACTCAGCCATGAAAATAATTTTAATGCTAAAAAAGGTTTAAAAACCACTAGTTGACCGGGCATGGTGGCTCACTCCTATAATCCCAGCACTTTGGGAGGCCAAAGTGAGAGAACTGCTTGGGCAACATGGTAAGACTCCATCTTTACAAAAAATATATTTTTAAATTAGCCAGGTGTGGTGGCATGTGCCTGTAGTCCCAGCTACTTGGGGGGCTGAGGTGGAGGATGGCCTGAGCCCAAGAGATGGAGGTTGCAGTGAGCTACGATCACGCTACTACACTCCAGCCTGAGCAACAGAGTGAAACCCTGTCTCCATTTAATAAATACATACATACACACTCACTCTAGCCTAGGCAACAAAGCGAGACTCTGTCTCAAAAAAAAAAATAAAAACAAAAAAATAAAAAATAAACTCTAAAAAAAAAAATACATACATACATACATACCACGGACCTAGTGTAGCCTTCTCACTCCATAGATGAGAAAAGTGAGGCTCAGAGGAGGTGGGTGCACCCCTCTGAAGACTTCCCAATTGCCGAGATTCCACCTGAACAACTGGGAAAAGAAAATCCGGGACACTGGTCCCTGGGTTTGGGCTGTGCCGATAGGGCTGTTGGTAAAAGCTGTATCAGTTCCCACCATAGCAAACCCCTATTCCTCTGGGCTGAGAGGTTCAGCACAGCTGGTCCCTGGGTGTTCTATCCAGCAGGCTTCTCAAGGAGGGCCCAGAAGGTCTTTGGGGCAGACAGGCAGGAGCTTGCACACCACAGCTTTGGGAGCCCAGAGCCGCTGCCAGGCCTGGGGCAGGAGAGGGCTCGGGCAGGTGTCCCCTCTGCAGCGGAGGGGCCTGACCATGCAGGGGAGGCAAGCAGGGGTGCCCCAGATTCACATCTCAGCCCACTGCTGCTTCCTACCTGTGCGACCCTGAGCCTCAGGTATATCGTCTATGAAATGGGGCGATGATGCAGTTCCTATGACCCCAAGCCGCTTGAGGGTCGGAATATGATACTGTGTGAAGTGTCCAGGAGCCTCAGGCTCCCACAGAGGAAAGGATGTGCAGGCTGGCAGAGTGGTTAGCAGCCTGGCCAGCTGCCTGGGCTCAAAGCCCCACTCTGCTACTACCACTAGGGGACCATGAGCAAGCCACTCACACCCTCTGTGCCTTGATTTCCTCATCTATGAAATGTCAGGGCCTATCTCAAAAGGTTATCAGGACCCACGTAGTGAGAACAGAACACAGCATAAAGAAAGTGTGATACAATGGTTTATTACTGCTGTCTTGGGTTTTTGTTTTCTTCTCCTAATCAGCATGTGCCCAATCTGAAGGGAGTCAGGAAGCCCCCACGGTCTGCCCCCACCAAACCCCCACACGTGGCTATTTAAATTTAAATTAATTAAATTAAACTTTATTTATTTATTCTTTTTTTTTTTTTTGAGACAGTCTCATTCTGTTGCCTGGGCTAGAGTGCAGTGACGTCAGCCTAGCTCACAGCAACCTCAAACTCCTGGGCTCAAGCAATCCTGCTGCCTCAGCCTCCCAAGTAGCTGGGACTACAGGCATGCACCACCATGCTAAGCTAATTTTTTTCTATATATTTTTAGTTGGCCAATTAATTTCTTTCTATTTTTAGTAGAGATGGGGTCTCACTCTTGCTCAGGCTGGTTTCGAACTCCTGACCTTGAGCAATCCACCCGCCTCGGCCTCCCAGAGTGCTAGGATTATAGGCGTGAGCCACTGTGCCCAGCCTTATTTATTTATTCTTAAAGACAGGGTGTCACTATGTTGCCCAGGCTGGTCTCAAGTCTTGGGCTCGAGCGATCCTCCTGTGTCAGCCTCCTGAGTAGCTTGAGACTACAGGGTGTGCCACTGCATCTGGCTAAAATTAAAAAAAAATTAAAACTCACTTCCTCAGTCCCACTAGCCACATAGGCTCACGGAGCTAGGGTCTATTGCATTAAACAGCACAGAACATTTCTATCATCACAGAAAGTCCTATTGAACAGCACTGCTAGACTAGAATGTTCTATTAAAATGCAAACAGCTGCCAGGAAGGAAGCCTCATGGTTTTTGCAACAATCCCTGGGACACATCCATGATGCCCTTGATAGCACTCCCTCCTTCCAGAAGCCAAGAGAATCCAAAACATTCCAGAACTACTGAGCACTTCATCTGGCAGACCGTAAGTGCCAGCGGAGGAGACGGTGAGGGGCTGAGCGCCACCTGACTGCCCACGTGCGGTGGCACCCCCCAGCCCCGCCCAGCAGCCCAGACCGCCTCCTCCCAGAGGCACCTCACACCAACTCCTCCAGTTGTCCCTGTCCCCAAAGACGGAGCACCACGTCTCTCTAGTCACTCATGTCAAGACCTGGCACGTACCTTTTCTTTTCTCTCACTCCCTCCCTCTACCCCAGGCATCCTCAAACTACGGCCCGGCCCGTGGGCCACATGTGGGGGTTTTTGCCCATTTGTTTTTTCACTTCAAAGTAAGATATGTGCAGTGTGCATAGGAATTTGTTCATAGTTTTTCTTAAACTATAGTCCGGCCCTCCAACGGTCTGAGGGACAGTGAACTGGCCCCCTGTTGAAAAAGTTTGAGGACCCCTGTCCCCTTCCCTCCTAGGTCTCCAAAACCCTTGACTGTTTTCTCAGTAGGCCTTGACTTTGCCCCTTTCTCTCTGTCTGCGGCCCCTGCAACTCAGGCCTCGCCTGCTGTCACCAGGACGCCTGGTAAACCAGGAGCCCCCGGCTGACCCTCCCCTCGGCCACCGTTCCTCTGCGGCTAGCTACTAAAACACTTCTGTGATCATAGCCCCCTGCCCTGTGATGCTGAGAAGGGTCTCCTCACCCACAGTTCTAATCCTCCAGGCTCTGGCAGCCCCATGCTCACGAGCTCACCTGCCTGGGAGCGCCAAGAATTCCTAATGATGCCGTTCACACCCCTGGTCCTTTGCCTTCCCTCTGCCTGTGCCAGGGACACCCCTGTCATCCCCTGCTCCTCACCTCTCCCCTCCGCAGCCAGCCCAGGCTGAATCTCAACCTCAGATCTTGCCCCTCCACCCCTCCCTGGCCCACCCGGGCCCCTGTGCAGGCCTTTATCAAGCACATATCTGTCACGTTGTCCTACGACAGCTGGTTACGTCTGTCTTCCTCTCTAGCCTGCAAGTTCCTTCAATGCAAGAACACTGTGTTCCTCCTTGCAGCCCCCAAGCCTGGCTCCTAGCAGGGCCTCAATAACTGCATACAACAAAACCAGACTCCCCTGTGAGACTGGCGCTGTTCCCTCCCATCTCACAGATGAGGAAAATGAAGCTCAGAACAGAAGTCACTTGCTCAAGATCTCCCGCCTCATGAATGGCAGGGCCGTGATGCCACCTCAGGCCCCCGTGGAGGCAGCTGAGCACCCCTGCGCTCAAAAGAGGGAAAGATACACTGTTTCTTGGTAGAGGGGGCCTCTCATGGATTTTTTCCTCTTATTCCAAACTGATGCCTGCTTATTGTGAATAACCCGACAGCACACACTGGATTCCTATGTGGACAAATGGAAAGGTCCCTCTTAACCTGCCTCCTCGGTCCCACTCAGCAAAGGTGACCCTGTGGTAACCCCTTTGTGTGAGGCATTCCAGAGACTTGGTTATGCGGCTATCTATAAATATTTATGCACACACATTCATATATGGTTTCGGTTGACAAAATGAGGTCATATTGTAGCTCCCGTCCATCGGCCCACCCTCCTCACTCAGCGTGTGGGCTGCGTGGACGCCTGTTATGAGGGCCCCAGAGA